TGCATGGCATGACGATTGGACACGTTTATTTCATTCTAAAGTAAAAACGCTCTTATAAAATGCCAATGTTCAAATATTTGCTCCAAGATACGGACTGGCAGCTGAGCAATGTGTCACAACGTGTTACGCTTCAATGTGACCCAGCTGCGGCACCTATGCTCTGATATAAAGTATTCTTACACAAAAAACTACAACATTTTAAAGAGTATTCTCGAGTAGGACAAATTAAAAGAAAATCTGGTTAATCTATGAACTCCTTAAGGTTTTACTTATGTCGTGATTAAATTTTTTTTTGTTGTGAAAAACTAATTTTAAATAGAATTTTAGCATAAATCTAAGATTAAGAATAAGATTGGTATGCTCTTATTTTTTGTCCTTTAGTCGTACTAATTAAAAATGATGTAATTATTCAAATTTTTAAAATTATCTTAAAATGTTAAGAACATTTAAGTACATTTTTTTGTATTATTATATTTTTTTAATAGAAATATATCCAAATATAAAGAATATACCTATATTGAAAATTATGAAACTCATGTAATAAATTTCTTTGATAGTTTATCAGACTGTTCAGCGGTGAAGACAAAAGACCTAGTAAATCATCTAAATTATCTAAACTTGGATTTAGTCTCTACTCTTCTATACTAGGATTCTTGCGAAGAATGTGGTAGCAAAGATATTGAGGTATTGAGGCTAATTGAGGTACATGGAAGTTATCTAATGGCCTACTACTGCAACCAACCATGTAATGATACTCAGTACTTATTCATTAACACTTTGTAATTTCCCATTTTACTAAAATACTTTTATGAATAAAAACATATATATAATTGATATTGCGTACGTATTAGATAAAATGGAAAAATATATATATATTCTCTTGAATATGCGAGACATATAACTGCAAGAAGACTATTCGAAGTTAGCATGCAGGAGAAGATCAACACATCTGGGTATATAGTAAGCAACCGAATAAAATGGAATATCATAAGTAACATATTACAGCAAACAGCACTATGTAACGCCATTGAGATGATAAATAATCTGTCACAACGAAAGAAAAAATTTGATCAAATACCGACCTATGGAATATAAAAAGTCTTTTACCTCAGACCCATAAAATACCCAAATTGAAATTATCGTGACATATAACTCAAAGACTGATGGTGAAGTCTGCGAAGTCACTAGAATCAAATAATCTAGGTAAGCACAAGCAAAATAAATCGCCTTCACGATTTCGGCAAACCTGTAGAGTTGGTAAAAATGCGACACACTTGAAAGAACAAGTTTTCCATGTAATTTGAAATATTCAGTTTTGTTACAAAAATAAAACAAAAACATAGAGCAAAACTTTTCTAACATTTTACATCCAATGGAGAATTATTGGAGATTAGTGGAGATTAATGTAAATACCACTAAAATAAGTTGCCCTTGTGTTACAGACTTTTGTTGCTTGAACATATTATAATAGAGCTTATAATTTTAATTTTAAGTTATACATGAATAAAAATATAAATTAGTTTTCTTTAAAAATTTAGAAAAAGCATAATTCTCCGTAAAACTCAAATTAATTCAGGCGATATTTATAATTATTATTTTTAATAGAAATATATTCTATACAGTTGATATTACGACTTTGCATAGTACTTACTTTCTTAAATATTTGGCTATAGAAACTTATCATTGGGCTGAGGCCGAAAGCGACACTTCTCTCCTGAAACCTTTGTTGCAAAGATGGCTTTTATTAACATAGCATATAAAGCGCAATTCATGCTCCTCATTTTAATCACCCCACCAAAGATAAGGTCTTGTTTTACATCTTCTTACCCATCCTTTAGCTTTAAATATTTCTTTCGCTGAACCAACGTCTGTCATTCTCATAAACGAACCGATGAATTCACTAAATATTTATTTATAGTAAATCATCAATGCTAATGCCGTGATGAAGCTCGTACAGCTCGAGGTCCTTTTGTATACGCTAGGAAAAACTTTTCGTACTCTCAAGTCTACATCATTATTCTTTAATACTGTTCATACTACGCACAAATAAAATGCGTGACTTATAGAGCGTCCATTTCATCGGTCGAAAGAGAGATCTATATTGTCTACTGAACCCAAAGTAACACTTATTAGTAACGACAATTCTTTATTCTTCCGTTCTTCATCGTTGTTGTTAGTTAAGGCAGTGCAAAATATATAGAATTCATGACTGTTTTGAAAGATTATCACCAGCTATCATCTTAATACTTCAATAAAGCACATTTCTGCCAGTAGCCGACATATACTTCCTTTTGTTCTCATTTATCGCTAAGACCATTTTCACAGATTCTTTTTTAAAAGCAGCAAAGGCACCAATAGCACATCAATGCCGTTTTTGATTAGTAAATCTGCGGTGATTTTTTTTAATCGAAATTCGCTTTTAATGCAATTTCATGATCTTTTGGTAAATCTGGAGCGAAATTTAAAATGCTCGAGATATTTTAAAAGGATAGCATGTACTTATGTACTTATGAAAAATATGGACTAACACAACAACAAAAATTACTCTCAGGATCATGTTATGACGAAAAAACATGTTATGCAGAGTGTCACATCAGTGCTCGTATTGTCAATTTGGTATTTTTACTACTACGTTTGTATTCTTTGATTGTGCCTAAATTATATTGTGGAAATATTTTACTCTTTATTAACACGAGGTATCTTCAAAACCCCTCTTTACGCATTGACTGGATGAATGTTTATCACTTCATCAGACTAGGCAATAATTGACCTTAGATTTGCATACCTCCCCGAGAAGCCTGTAACCATTCTGAGATTCGATAACGCGGTGTTAGTACGTCTGTCAGTTTTCGCAAATAATTTCAGGGCTCTATCCTTTATGTATTTTTTGATCGGTTTAATCTTTAGGTCCCTGAGAATGTCATTCGTCCTAATGTTGTACCATGGTGCCTTGAAAAGTCTTCTCAGAGCTTGGCTTTGTGCAATTTCTAGCTGGCGAATAGTAGTGTTTAAAGCTTTGCTACACATTCATATAGAAGTGACGGACGAATTCTTTGGTTATATATCAGCTTCCTGTTCTTAGCATAGCTGTGTTGCTTCCTATAATTTTTTCTCCAAAACGTATTAAAATTTGCTTCTAAATTCTGACATTTAGTCTCGCCGCACATTGTAAGGATGGAAATTTTGTAATAATTTCCAACCTACATAAATTTAGTAACACCACCACTTTGAACAAAACACGTGAAGTAATCTGTAATTAGGAGAAAACATTTCAATAATAAATACAAAAGGTATATAAATAAAAATAACAATATAACATACCTTCATCATTTTTCCACATAAATTTATGTAAATTAATAAATAATAATTTATTTATAAATTATTTATTATTTTATTTATAAATAATTCAACTATAAAATAAAACCACGAGCACCGCCGCTTTTTATAAAAATGTAAACAAACATTTACAAACGTCAAAAATGTCAGAATGCAATTCGCTGCAAAAAGATGCACAAGGGAGCTTTTGTGCAAAAGTGTTAAGGGCAGTAAGTTCAACTAAGATCAACTCTAAGCTTTGTGTACTTTACACAAAAAGTTCAAGAGAAATGCGTATAAAAGACGGCGCAATTTTCTAAGAATTTAGTGAGTCTTGTATGATCACTCGGTGGCATTGTATGTCAAAATATAAAATAAATAAATATAAAAATATTGTCTGACACAGTGGCGGTTTTAAGCCTAGTTGTATAAATTACTAAAATATATATATAATTGTGTACAAGTGCATGGGCGGTTTTAAGTCAAGACACTTGGACACTATTGTATAGATATTCTATAACCGAACAAGGAAATATATTTTTTTATATATACACTAACCCTTCTGTCCCACACAGGTACGCATTGAGCAAGTAATCATACGAAGATACAAACCACGGAACCAGATTAGAGATCACCGAGCTCCAAAGGAACAACCTCCAGATACAGCAGAATACCAGGAAATAATCTCAAGTTTCTCAAGTTTAATCACGTTTAATGAATTTACTTTGTTTTTTTTTTTAAAAAAATACTATGTCATTGAATTGTACACATTAGTAATCTCAAGTTTACATAATTACGTTTAACTAAATTCCTTTTTTATAAATACTATTTTCATGAATTAATAATATTTTAAATAAATCTACATTTAAAATTTAACACACGTTACTTTTATTTTGAGAAGTCCTGTCTCCGCGAATATAAATTTATTGTAGCGACCCCCTGGAAAAGACTGAGGATACCCCAGCATAAATTATAACGAAACGGGAAAATCCGTGTCGTTACAACATGAACAAAGTTAAACCGATATTTTGTTTTTGTCTCTCTCTCTCTCAATTGTTGAGCCAATGAATAATTGAGAAAAAATGTTCGATTTGGCAACAAAGTTTGACATTTCGAGAAAAAATCTAGT